TCAACGGTTACTGAGTAATCCATCATTACGAGAACGGAACATCTCGGTTTTAAGGAAGAATGCTGAGGCGGGTTACGCAGTGCCTGTACCGTGCAACCAGATGTGGCCTGAATACAAACCGGGATTGTAGTTGCGGCCTCACGCCATTATCAACCTGAAAAACCCGACAAACTCAGAGTGGTCGAATACCAAATGAAGGCGCATCCCCTCGGTGCCCGTTTGTCACCGTTTTGCGCCAATTTCGCCTTGTGTCAAACAGCTGATGAGTGGAGATTTCAATAAAGCGAGGATATGGCAGAAGCTGTTCACAATAACTCCAACATTGACGACCTCTTGATCTCGCTACCGACCGTAAGGGAAACAATGCAATTTGTGGGACAGCTCAGCGAGATGCTAAATAAAATTGGATACAAGCTGTGCCAATGGGGCTGTAGTCACGGTTTTGCAAGCACAGATCGCTGAGTCAATTAAGCCTGAGGTGGTCAGGCGGACGTTGGGAATAGCCTGGGATTTCCGTGACGACAATTTCCCCTATCAATTCACAATACCAGTGAAGTGAATACGAGAAGTGGCATCTTATCCTCAGTGTCTCCTATTCATGGCCTTCTGGGTCCAATTGTTCCTTTAGTTATGCCCGCCTAGTTATTGATGCAAAGGCCGTGAAGAAACAAACTACATAGTGAAGATCCGGGCACTGGTGAATACAGTGACATCTGGAGACCTTGGCTACTTGAAATGAAAGCGTTAGATGTCCTGAAGATTCTTCAGTGCATTCGCAAGCTTGGGAAGAGTGAAGAGCGGCCACAACTGCATATCTTTTGGGTTGCACCCGAAGCTGGATATGATGCGGTTGCTTATGCTAGATTCCGTGCTGAAAACACCGCATACTGCTCTCTGTTATACGCGAAGTCGAGAGGCACCACATTTCTAGCATCCTTGGAGAGTTGGTTTCTTGAGCCAGATTTTCTGATGAGTGTCGATGAGCAGTGGCCCGGGGTTTGCTCGAGTTCTGAGTAGGCTGACGTAGAATTGAAGCGTTCCGCTGCTCAGGTATGTGCGACATCAGGGAGTGACAGTGTAGTTCATCATTATCAGCAGATATTTCCAACGGACTAAATCACTAAAGGCAGTGGTGTAGTTATCTCGATTCAGGCAGCAACTAAGCACCCGCAGACACGGAGCTGATGAACCTTCGTAACGCAATGGACTGATTACCCTGTATGAACACAACGAAGCAGAGTAAGATGTCATTCGAATCACCCAACTCGAAGCCTATGGAACGGAGCTAAAACGGCTCGAAAAGCCGAATGCAGACTCAATAGCTTCTAAGGTGGAAACACGACGAGGCACTTTGGCTCGTCCATACCAAATACTACGAGGTGGCTTACTCTGTGTTGGTGACCGATTGACGTATTCAGGATAGGACCGTATGGCATGCACCCTTAACGATTTGCTGATATGGTGACCTAAAGAAACGTATTTATGGACGGCTTCATTAACCGAAGAACATGAACGCTGTTGGCGACAAGTCAATTATCTGACACTGTTGTTTTGGAAAAGGTAGTTCGCAGATTATTTGACATTGTTGCACTTTAGACAAAGGTGGCTGCACAGGAGTGGGAACCTCAGACCAGATGATGTAGTATTGCTGTTTTCAGAAACAGGTTCACGGGGCACATGGCCGATGGGGATTGTTGAGCACTCCATGGCTTCTGAAGAGGGGCTTGTCAAGAGCTCAGTGGTTAGAAGTAAGGATGGGTAAACCACAGGAGATGTGCGAAAGCTACGTTTATTGGAAGGAAGCGACACGAGTGGGGATGTAGTCCCGGCTGTTGGCTCTCCGCAGGTGGGAGGCGGGTCTTCGAACTGCCGCTCCAGGGAGGACCCCAGTGAGTCAAACAGCTGAAGTGGGATGTCTCAGGCGTACTGGTCCTTGGACCTTCCAGTGTGGATGGAGCCGGTGTAGGGCGGCCCAGAGCAGAAAGCTTCAACAGCCTTGACGGAAAATGCAGATCGGATTTTGATGGGCAGTGCAGAACGAATTTGCAACCACCAAAGACTCAGCTCTATCAAATGTTTACTTCTATATTGGTCAGCCTCATCGTCTAGCGTGGACCATCCGTGTACCTGTCCCCTTGTCCAGTTTCTGTTCCAATGCTAGCCGAGCAACCTCTACGTAGTGTCAGCTGAATGCTTCGGGCTAACCCCTTCCAGCGAATGGTTCGGCGACAGTGTTCCAGGACGTGGTGGGTTTTCACCTGACAAACGTTTTCCCTATAAAAAACCACAAAGGCCTGCTTAACAACGCTGCGACGTGGCGGATGAGACTCGCCAATAAATAAAGTCACTGCCTCCTCCACTTTAGAAGGAGCTTCCCTACCTCATGAATGGCATCCAGTTCGAAGAGTTCCTTTGATCTCGTCATACGATGGCGAACAAAGGGAACAAACTCCAGAATCCAGTCACATTTGACAAGTTCATCCATCTTGTCCACCTACACATACACCTGGTTGACGGCATCCGACTTCGGATTTGCATGTCACTGTGGCCAGCCGCAGGACGCCTGGGCCTACAGAGGAACCATGGGTGGCTGCGTTGCAACCCACACACCCCATATCCAGCGTAAACCCAAAGGAATAAAACCGGGAGGCATGTAGATGGGAGTCACGTTTCACCAACGAAGCCGGCCCACACTCCTTCACAGGCAAACACAAGCACGTTGTACTTGGGGAATCAAGTGCACACAAGGCGGTGGCTGGACCGTAGTCCGCTCCACACGGAGTGCATGGAACCACTCTTCAAGCCAAGCACGGCCACAAGGATCGTGCACCCCGTGCCCTCCAGCAACGACCAACTGGAGCCAGTTTGGACGAAGTAGGCACGTTGTCAACATGTACATCAAGCGCAACCACACCGGGGATGTCAAATAAGAGATAAACATATAAAATGGCGTTATCAAAACAAATATATCTGTCAAGGCATAAGACTATGTCGACATGACTCTTCGCTAAACCAGTATATGAAGTAAGTTGCTTAGCAACAAAGACGCGATAAGTACAAAATGTCCACATGTTATTCAAAAATGCCACAAACGCGATAAAGGTAACGAAGATAACCACAATTAGCGTAAGTAACGTGTGCCAGTTAATAAAAAAAATATTCGAGTAAGCAGAACAAATCAAATAACGCTAGATAATGACAAGCGTAATGAACGAATTGGTGGAATCAAAAAGGAAAAAGGAGAAAGTTTGAGCTGGGATGATGAATACCTGCTATAGCGATAGTCTGCGACATTAGCAGAGTGAATCAACACGCACACAAGCATCGTGGTGTGCGCATAAAAGATCGCGTTGGGAGGATAGCTGCCCGGTCGCTTCTTTGCCATTCAAGTGCAGGGGCACAAATGGAGGCCAATAAACAGTATGGAGTTCGCGCAGGCGGCAGTACAGTCGACAAGGTGGCGGATGTGACTTGCTACTAAAGAAAGTCACTGCTCCATGCCTCTTTCTGAGTGGCATTGTAATTCAAGTGTGTGTTGGACCCCTGGTCCTATGCGGTCCTAAAGGCGTATGAACTGCTTGTTTGGTCACCGGCTCCAAATGGGTTGCGATAACTTCATATCACCCTGCTGCCTTGCAAGTTAGATCTTGGATCAACGGCTCGGGGTGGGACCCCTAAGACAACCCTCTACTTCGGCCCGAACAACCGGGCAGCATCTCGCCTACTAACGAACCTTGGATGGATCATCCTCTACCCTCTCCCAGTAAAAAACATCAAAAAACTAAAAACTGAGTGAAAAATAGACAAAAAGTTTATTTATTTTTGTTGTTCATTTAATCTAACCCTGTTTTCCTATTCTGCCATGGCTTCGATGGCATAATATCTGTACACAGATTGTGGTCTATATATACATATATATATATATATATATATATATATACATGTATATATATATATTTATATACATAATCGACAAGGAGTCCGCAACCGGTCAGCTGCTGGAGCAGTGCCCAGAAGGAGCCATCCATTGTACTCGCTACAAGTTGGTTTCACCAATGCAGTAGATGCGGTGCAATGTGTGCTTCGATGTTGATTATTTTAGATGCCACGGTAAAATTCGCTCTGCTGGCTGTTCGCACAATACTATACATATCGACCTGTAGCCTCGTAATCCGAGAACGCGGGTTCGAGCCGGGGTAGGGACCGGGCAATTCTCGAAGTAAACGTAGTCTGGGTGCGATTGGTGGTGGTTCTGCTGCAGCGAAGCGTCGGTATTGAGAGCCGGTGTACTGCTGATGGTTTCTACCAGCGCGAAGCTGCGTGGACGAACACGGGGTGACGCCAACAGTGTCCCTGGCGTGAAGGTAAACTGTATCACAGCCCAATATGGTACAACGCCATTCTAGAAAGGGCATTTATTACAGGAGCAGAAATTGTTGGCTTCGAGGATCACATGGATAGCGAGCTGTTGAATATCCATTAGCAAGCTGGTTTGTAATCGGTGGTACTTTACTTCAACACGGGAAATGAGTTAGGACGCAGGGGCAACAACCTTCGATTCAACGGCAGTCAGATTAGAAGTGTACATTAACACGGACTTTTCGGCCGGCTACAAAAATAAAAGTGTTGCGCTGCCTACAGATCCGTACCGGTGAGTATTTGTTGCAGAATAATGCTTGCCTAGAAATAGGATATCAACAGAGCTGCGGACAACCAATGAGCTGGGCAATCGAGAACTGCATTCAGCAAGCATTGCCAGTGGACCGTTGCGTATTTTTTCTCTACGGCGATGAAACATTATAGGTACACATGAACGGTTGGAATGATTTCACCAAAAATGTCTGCGGTGGAATTTGCCCATTCGCTGGTGGCACCGGGTGTTTGAAGTTCAAGAACACCCTAGTACTGGCAGGCATGAAATGGAGAACATCACAACAGAAAAGACGACCAGAGACAATGATCAGAAGTCGAGTAGGTAGCTGAAAAACCTGTCAACGTACAAGCCTTTTTCCATTCTTTTTTGCAGTGGAGAGTTCGATGGATGGTAGTTTACCCGGTTTGCGCCACAGGACGGGGGTTGTACCCTCAGTGGGAAAGGTGATCCGATACGCGACAGGCATGGGCTGCATGATGCTGGAGAGTATGTGGTCCAAACGCGAAAGGTAGACCGGTTGAGCCAAAGTGCTTTCGGGTGCCTCTGTGTACAGTTTCGGGTCGCACAGCTTTACCAACAAATCATCCAATCGAACAAGACTGTAGGTGAATAACGCAGTGGGCGAAAAGATGAAGTGGGTAAGATAGAAGACCTGAAGTCCTGGTTGATCGAGAAGTATACGGAAGAGAGTGTACATAAATCGGGTTTCGCAAGTGGGGTAGGCGTTTCAAGACAATGAATAGTCAGTATGCCTGGAATACTCGCATTTCTTATTGCCCAGAAAGAGTAACATAAGCGATGTATTTTGAGACCAGCAATGACATAACCAAATGAAAATGACAAGTTCATTTAACAATATCATGGAGAAAAAGAGGATACAGGAGCTAATACAACTCAATAATCTGTCAGCATAGTATTCACGTTTAATGAGCGTTTAAGCAAACAGATACAAGGTCGTTGTGCCTAAAGGGGGATAGAATGGGTGGCATGCGCAGTGGCACTCCGAGCCTCGTTCACCTATCCAATGTGCAGCATAAGCCACAAAGGAGAAAACCGCGAGGCGTAAGACGGGATCTATGATTAAAGAGACGTGCGTAAAACACAAGTGTGCACGGGCAGTGGCGGAGTTGTTGCCCGTTCCATGGCGGAAAATGTGGAGGCAACACAAACATGTGAGCAAAAAATTAAAAGAATATGTATGAACGGTAGATGAACTAAAAGAAATCATGATTTGGCTACGATACGGTGCTAATCAAGCAGGTGATGCCTTTTCGTGCAGTAACCTATCTCGTCTAAGGAAATGAACGGAGTAGGTGGCGAGGAATTCAGAAAGAATGGCGAGACGGTCTAAGAGTATTCAGCATGTCGGTTCGTAACACAATTTCTCGAGGCGAGATTCACGGAAAGGGAAATAATGTCTTCCTCAAAAAGCAGTAATCAGACAAAAGCAGCAACTTATGGATTCCAACTCGTTGATCAATAGACTAGACTAAACATTACTGCCAGTTGAGAGAAGCCGCTCTCCATTCTGCGATGAGAATCGATTTCACTTATAAGGCCTGCGTTTCTTCTGAAGCAACCAACCAGAGCGGCGGGAAGGCCAATCAAGTGTAGTGGTTTTCCCTGAAGAGAAATATCGGAGCTGGAACTGAGCACCAGTTGACAGCATCCTAGACGGAAGGAAACTAGATGCGGAGCCTCCAGAATATCGGAAAAAAGGATCCATTATATGTGTAGACTAAACTAATTGATTCACTACAAATGTCTATATTACCACAGCCCAAGAATTATCACAAGTCAATACCGGATTTAGCAGGAAATGAGCCGACGGCCGAAATCACGACTCAGATTTCGTCTGGAACGATTGGTTTGGGTCGGATCTGGTTCACTTAGGTGTACAACAACATCGGCGAGAGAGGCCAGTTAGCTCTTTTGTTGCCGAAAATGTTCTAGCCTCAATGTGGAGTAAAGCTTACAATAAAAAGATGTTAGGGAAACGATGCAAAGGTGCCTGTGATCAATCGTCCTCTTTTGAAAATAGAACGCAATCACAGATTCAGTGCAGCCCTATGTAGGGTAACCAGTTGAGCTCAACTCAAGACGTGAACCCGGTTAGAAATTCATTGAGTTGTATCAAGTGGCAACTCCTATATTACTGATTGGCTCCGAAGTGTTTTAGTAGTTTTGCTTCGTCCATATTTGAGCTGCAGTAATCCCCATGCGTACGATTCTGTTTTGTCTCAGCTTTTCTTCACGCTCTCAATCGCGGTCGCTGGATTGGAGCAGTTGCGTGGGACTTATGCAGCAGTTACGCCGCAACACATAAGTAAATAATTATCTGTTGGCACGAATACTGAGTATAAAGTGAAAATAGATATAAGTCAGTGGTGCTACAGCGAAATAAATCAAGCACATGCGCGGAAGTACGTCACTCATTCTTGCGCATTTTCAGCGTGTTTTACTATTCAGGTGCAATGTGCTACGATAATATATGATACGCCATTCGAGCCACAGGGAATTTCGTAAATTGCGGGCAAACTGTTCCAATATTTTAACATTCGACCCTCGAAGCATAAAGGGTGAGCTATCCGCCTCAAAGGACTTACTGACGAATGTTGCTTGGTGCACGCATGTGCAGTAACGGTCTTAGTATAGGGAAGTCACCCAGGTATGCTATTATGAGATCTACCCGAAACCGATAGGAATGTACAACTCAAAACTCCTGCATCGGTCTTCGTACGACGTACCCCGTAAACCGGTGACGAAATTGTTAACTGGACCCTTTCCAGTTTCCGTACCTGGTTCAGAGTGATCGGGCAATAATCGGGTGAGCCGTACTCTAGCATTGGAAGAGGGGATGGAGTAGGGGAGACGATGTACGTTCGGTCAACTTCTGTCTTACTTCTCGGACTCTACTTGGGCGCACAACCGGTGGAAACTGAACTCTTCCCATCAGCTCTATCGGATATCATGGAAGCCTTGGAGACAAGCGACTTACTGAAATGAGGCAAAAGCGGGTACAACAGTTCGCATGAGGGGTTGTGATGCATACATAAAAGGACGACATAAGTGACTTACGTCTAAAAACGAGGGAGTTTTGAGCTTGTATGTGAAAAATACCATGTCGATTTAGTAAAAGCAGTTGTGGAAAACGTACTGGAACCAATTATGCTAGCACAATGAAATTCCGTTACGCATTCAGCTGGAGCCGAGCGGACAGACGATTATTCATCCCTAAGGAGGTGGAATGACCGAACCCGGATTAATCGCACCTGAGTGACTGGCTGGTTCTTTCAAACTGGCTACTAGTTCACTACATCATTTACCTTGCAGCGTCCACAACGCCATACACGTTTCGCTGATGAATACTGTGCCACAACTTCGTCCCGTCTTCTCCGGCGTCATTGCAAGCGAATGAGATATCGTCTGGCAAATTTGCACCCGCCATCATACCACCAGACCACGCGCCGACGTCTGCAATAACCCTATCGTTCTTCCATCGTTCATGAACAACCGACGTTGGCTACCGACCAACTGCGGGCTCTTGTAGTGTGTGAGCTCCGCTAGCTAGATATCACTGAGGGTTTATTATTCGCTACTTAATAGTACATTACTAATGTTCGTTCAATGTGAAAACAGGGAATGATAGTGCGCGTAATACAGGTATTAAAGTGTTTGTACTTCTGCTGTACAGATAGCGCTCAGGAAACGAACTAATGCACGTAGAAAAAATACTGAGTTTCGATGAAAAATGCGGTGCGGATTCACGAGGAGTTCTACATTTTGATAAAGGCCTATTCGTCTATAGTACAGTTGTGTAGGCGCTTCCGCGTAATTGGACCTTATGAAGGATACTAAGGAAGGTTCGGCAGCGTAGACTGAAACGTAACTGTAGACCGTAACAAAACGCCATGTAACCAAATCGATCCGGGAGACAACAAAAATAAAATCAGACAGCCAAATGCAATCATCTGGTATTAGGGAGTAAAAGAGGGATTTATTGCGTTTCTGAGAAACTTCGTCGCAGCAAGATTCCGCCAGACAGCCACGACACATTCAGGGAAGCACTAGACCGCCGTTTCGTACTACTGAGACTCATCAGTAGCGCGCACCCGCCGGATCCTACTGGACCTGAAACCATAACCGCACTCTTACGAGTTAATGACTTATGCCGCCGAGCCATGAGTGACGGCGGCAGACCATGATTGATATCTAACTGCGATATAGCGCAGCTCATCTTCCACTGTCATGCATGTTATGAACGTGCAGAGAACGGAGTTGGCCCCCAAGAGCAACGGCTTCCTTCGCAAGCCGCCACCAATGGGCAGCAGGTAAGCTGCTAAAGCAATTACTGATTGCGAGTAGTAAGGGGATTTAGCGAGCTTTTTTTGAAGATTCGTCGTAGCTAAACTCAGGCAGACCACCATCACAAATCCACGAAAGCGCCAGACGGCCGTTTTGTCCTATTGAAACTCGTCAGTAGCACGCACCCGCCGAATACTGTCGGATTCGAACCAACGACCTACACTTACGAGCCGTGAGTGACGGCGGCAGACTGCCATGATCGATTGCTAACAGTGGCGTCTCATCTCCCACTGTCACGCATGTTATGAGCGCGCAGGCCCGTGAGCTAAGATTACCTATGCAAGTCGCCACCAATCGAGGTGGTATGCTAGCTGCTCAGGCGATTACCGATTAGTATTGTCTTCTCAAACGTGGTTCTATCATGCTGATCGTTAATGGAATACTAACGAAGGATCTCTATCGGGTCCAACTCATAGTGTGTATGCCAGTCCATGTGTGAAGGCGGAGTAAATTACACAAGCAGAACCGATAAGATTGTGACTTATCTATCGCTTCTCTTCTCTTCAGGGTAAGGGGACATGTGCTAAGATGGATTCAACGAGAAAATGCCTAGTAAAACTACCCCCACAACCTTGATGCACGCATAAGCTACCAGTTTCTTCCATCAGCAAGCATCTACTAAACACGTAAAACCGTTCAACTATGTGCTGCGTCACATGAATCTTCGCTTCCTTTGTTTCACCCAAGCAATCGCAATGAGCCCGATGAAACCAATCCTGTGTGTTCAAAACCCAACAAAAGCGGTCGGTCACGTTCACGGTTAGCTAGATAATTACGTGCCAATTACTGTTAAAAAAGTTCACGTATTTACCTTCCTACCGTGGCTAAAAGGTGAATCCCTCCAAAACACTCTGAACAACATGGGGGCTCGCTGTGTGTCATAAAATAGCAAATGCATACTAGAGGTAGTTTACGAAACATGGAGAAGGTAAACGCGCACTCACTTTGGGTCATCCTGTCGTAGCAGCCCATGTTCGCGGACGTAGCTATTCACTGCGTTCCGTGATTCAGATTGGGTGATGCAAGTGTTAGGTCTGCAAAATGGAAAACGGCGAGTACCTGCGGGAGATCAATCTATACAGGAACTTAGTAGACAAATTGCAAATGAATTTAAAAATCTTGACGCCGCAACTAATCAGATGTGCATTAGCCGGTGTCCTATTCCATGCATAGTCGGAATCAACAACTTAACAAAAAATAAGAAGAAAACTCTAGATGGTATAGAACAACGCGGGCCATAAAACGAATCCCATCAGGATTGCAAACGGTCAATTTCTTCCTAAATATGCGCTGGTCCATGTCACACACACTGTAGCAATCACAGTGTTTACATGTTGCCGAATATGTGCCCGCGTCCATCAATAATGGCATCAATAGACCAAAACTGCGGAAGAAACGGTTACAATCCCAAGTTAGTATGGAGAAAGGAGAGGCGTGTAAGAAGAGTAATGTTATTCAGAGTAATCCTAATGATGCACTTGAAGTGACGTCTATCAGTGCTAGTGTGAGACGACTCCACTTTGATGGTATAGTATAGCTTCGGAAATAACAAACGTTTACAACAGTCTACAAGACATCCGGTGAATCAGGAAGAACAGCGAGAAAATAATGATTGTAAGGTAGCAAATGAGAATCTAGTGCACGTAATGTGGAGTCCGGGGTCACTGTGCACAGTGTTTAAAGTACAACAGTCCGCTGCCAAATAGTCGCAATTTTAAAATTTCCGCCGCGGGAGAGGAGACAAAACTCGATCTAGTGAATGGTTGGCAGACGCTTAGGCCAACGTTATGTTTTGAAGCAGTGACGTAACCGCGATCATCAGCCTCTGATGCCCCTCCGCGATCTCCCACCGCTTCGAATTTGACCTTGACAATTAACAAGGCAAATGCTGCGCAAATAAAATGTCTAAAGTAGATTGACAAATCGAGATGAAAAAAACCACCACGAGAACCGGTTAACCATGCGAACACTCGTACAATACCAACAAATGGGGTAAAGAATTGTTCGAAAACCACCCATGAGACCGGGGAATTTGAAATGATCTGAGTCAAAAATCCGTATGGATACGGGTGGTGGAAAACCGCGAACGCGAGATAAATTACCAAGCTGATAAAAAGTTACCATCAAGGTTGAACGGACATTGGCGGAGAAATCCAGGGGAGTAACAACTGAGATATGACGGTCAGCAAGTGTGACTCCAAACACAACTAAGCACATGCCTCTGGAAACAAACGCTGAGATGGGGTGTGAGGATAAGAGATCCTCAAATATACGAGAAAATCACGATGTCGGCTTAACAGAAAGAACATCCGATCCGTATAATGGTTCGAATGCACCAAAGTCGTCTGCAAAACAGCGGAAATAGTGGAAACAATTTACAGAACCTGTAGAAACGGTGACAAATAGCAGGTTAGACAACAAGGAAACTTGGCACGAACACTGCCAGATCATCAAGCGACATGGTCAAATGTCAATAAGTTTAGTTTATATGGATGTCAAACTAATGCGATCAGGTAAACATCGAAAAAAGAGAGCAGAAGCAGTAAAACGCATAAAAAAGTAGAAAAATGACGGATAAAGATCTCGCATTTGACACGAAAGCTTCTTCAGGCAAAGTGAACAAGTTTAAATATGGGTGATATTTTATAGCGATCGCAGGTAAACCGCAGAAAGGGAGTGGTCAAAATGCCGTTCATTGGTAAAAGGTTACAACGGTTAAAGTGCAGTAGAATCAGATGTAATCCGGTTGGAGGAAACTGACCAATGACCTCGCCAGAGTAGAGCGGGCTGGTCACGAAATTTGTGATTGTATAATCCGGGTTTAAGCCATGGGTTACATGGGGAACAAAACGTATCGGTCGGAGGGCAGTTACAAGCGTGTCGGCCTACTTAAAGTGGTCCGTTAGAAGGAAATTGGTCAAAGGACTCATGGAAAATACGCTCGATACTCATGGTCCTGGTGGTAGGGGGTGTTCATAGTTCATTTGCCGACATTCGCCAAACAGGCCGGAGTAAGACTGAACGTTAGCACAACTTCACCTATTCTGTTCACGCAGTTGTAAACTTCATAAATTTCTACGGCCTCAACAATCAACCTTTGTAAGGCTGGTCGCAATCCCCTATTCACATCCTCGATATTTCCGAAGTCAATTGCATGCCAGGTAGCTAGCTCTATAGTCGAGATCGTTCCCAAAAATAGAGCACCGCCTATGCTCGGAAATTCTGGTGCGTAGTTCCCTCACTGTTTGGACTATATAGACCTGTGCGCTATCTTTATATTGAAGTTATAAACGCGGTTAGTTGTTCTAGTTAAGGGAAGGGAATTTTCCAAATACACAAGCATTGACCGCAGCGTTCTACTCTTGAAAAACTATCTTGATGCCCATATTCAACAACCTCCAGGTCATCTCAGAAGTATCTACTTTATAAGAAATACCCACTGTCACTATCCACTCCGTGGTCAATCTAAAATGTGAAATGAGTCATTGCTGTAGCTAATGTTTCTCCAATCGTCTCGGATATCCGTTAGCTGCTGGGTACCTCATCGTCTCACTTTATGTCACATTTCTATCTTCATCCTTTGTGCACAGAAGACAAGCTCTGTGAGTGATGAGGTGATTCCAGCAGAAACATGTTGGTGTAGCCTGAAATATAACTAAGTATTCCAACTGTGTCCGTTGGTCTGCGACACAGATTTAATGTATTGCGTGGTACGGTTGTGAAACCTGGCCGCTTACAGCAGCGGACCTGAAGAGGCGAGTTGCGCTCCACCATCGGTGTCTTCGTAATTTAGCTCACATCTGGTGGGAACACCGCGTGAGCAACGAGCGTGTTCAACGCCTTGTTTATGGCACAGGAAAAGGAAATAAAACGCTCAGCACCAGGCTCCGATGGCTCGGCCACGTGTTACGCATGCCAGCACACCGACTCCCGCGACGTGCGTTGTTTGCGCGCCGGGGGGGTGGATGGAAGAAGAGGAGGGGTGGCTAACCGATGACTTGGTCGAGAGGAATGAACGCCCTCACTTCTGAGCTGGCCTCGGTTGGAGCGTCACGGCTCCCTGGTTGACGTCCGAAAGACGATGAACACGTTTGGTTGGACACACTTGTTGATATGGCTAGGAACCGACCTCAATGGCGTTCGTGCTGTGAGTTTCTTTGTTTCACCCCACCCCACTTAGCCTCCCCCACCAACCACGATCTCATTATTTAGCTTTATACAATCTTGCATAGTAATTTTTTTGATGCACAGTAGCCGGCTGGTAGCTTACCGGAACGACGCCCATCCGTTACCGGTAGCTCAGTCGGTTTGCAGTAGTTGTTTTTCTTCTCTTTTTTCTGTGGATTGCGGCACAGGAGCTAACGTGTATGATGATGATGGTGATGGTCTGCGACACATCGGCTTTTTGAGCAGTCCTTCGTTCCTGTGAACCAGACAATCAAAGAACGGGAGTGTGTACCGTCATACCACTGGAGTTCCACAGCGAACTTTAGTGCATCGTCTATAGAGTTCAGCTAATACAAGAATTCATGTTTGCGATTTATTTGTATAATCGCAACAGTAACGTCTAGGTAGTGCCACCATACTCTGGGAGCACAACGAAAATTTGGCGTGGCCTTCTCTTCGAATTCGCCCACGTACGTATTTGCCAATACGGATGTACTGGAGATCCCATGGGCCAATTCACATACATGAGTGTACATATCAGGTCGAAATGTGAAATAAGCCAAATCGATGAAAGACACTATCCCCTCGATCAGTTTATGCACTGTAAACTTTGTTGCATTTCATTAGGCTGCCGTCCTTCATCAGGCAGCTTTCCGCGAATCTTTGGGTACGTTTGTGAACGAAGAGGTAACATGGATGATCACATTTAGCACCATTCGCGTTATACTCGTTCTTCTTTTTAGAGATCGCCAGATATCATGCGAGTTCATCGAGATTGGAAGACCGTAAATGCTACGTGAAATAGTTCATTATGGAGAAATCGCGCACCACTTTCCGTTTCCGAAGCTCAGGTTTTATTCCATTCGTTAAGTATGCCACTCTAGGGAGTCCTGTGGTCAAATGCTTACTCAATTTTCCAAATAATTAGCTTTATACGTTGTCACTGCTCAACTCATCCGCCCTTGCAACCACAATATTAGGATATTCTTTCGAAAACGTTAACATTCTGTGTTCGGCATAGTAATGACACAGTGTTAACTAGTTCACTTTGCCTTAGAGTTTTCGTATAAAATGGGCAACATTGTAGGCTTAACGAACCTAATAACTAGTTGTTCACCAAGCGTTCTAATATGATGACTTCCCGATGAGTACCACACATATTCCAAGACAGCAAAGTGTGCGAATTGATCGACGCCTGACAGTCCGTGTATATGTTTGGTCGCATCCGGATTTCGATTTGCCTCTCACAGTGGTCTCCACGGTGACAGCCACAGGAGGTCTGCGCCTACAAAGGAACCATGGGTGGCTTGCGCTGCACCACCCACAGGTCCAACCACGGACCCCATATCAAGTGTAAACCCGAAGGAATAACACCAGGAAGCATGTGGATGGGGTGCACGTTCCATCAACGGAGGCAGCCCACACCCCTTCACAGACAAACACAATCAAGCTGTATTTGGAAATCAAGCGCACACAAGGCAGTGGCTGGACCGTAGTCTGCTCGAAACTGAGTGTATGGAACCACTCTTCAAACTTAGCACGGCCACAAGGACCGTGCACGTCGTCCTCTCCAGCAACGACCAACTGTCTTCTGGAGCCAGTATGAACGAAGTAATTGGTAATATTCGAAGAAGTAGAAGCCACAATTAAAATTCACGCACAATAATATGCCTCGACGGGGAGTCGAACCCCGGTCCACGAATTTCCGGTCCGCTGCTCTACCACCTGAGCTACCGAGGGCTGACGATTAGGTGCGCAAATTTTAACACATGTCTTCTGCTTGGTGCGCGACGTGTTGCCAATAAGCTCACAGTACCTGTCCTGATGTTGCAGATTGGCTCACTCACCCGTCACTTCCCAATAGACC